TAAATAAAAAATAAAGCACAAGCGATAGCACAATTGAAACTATCGCATATCGTGATTCTTGATACAATATATATCCTGAAGCGATTCCAGCAAAAAAGTACTCCAATGGAAAATGTCCATTATGATCTGCATTTCGACAGATCATGCCTAGAATATTTGTATAAAATGCATATAATAATACTGCAGCATTTTATTAGAAAATAATTACGAAATTTTCGAAAGTTATACAGAGACTAGGGCGGATTTTTTTTGAGGTGGATTAAGCTCTGTGAAAAGTTGTATAATAACTTCAATATTCATGATTAAAAACATCATTTTTCTTTTTATTTTTTGCTTATTACTTTAAAATGGTTTAATTTGGATTTATTATCGTTATGAAATAAAATAGCGATAATTAAATTTCCTATAAGATACAACTGGTTAAAAAAAATGTTTTAATTTATTACCCTTGCTGCAAAATAGTTATAAATACCAAAAACAAAAAAAGACAGTAGTGTAGACAAAAGTGAATACTTCTTATAGCGTGTTGTTACACGCTATAAGAAGTATATAGTGTGTAATAACACGTTATTGATAATTTTTTATACTTTTTTATAATTTTTTTAAATTTTTCATAATTTTTTTAATAATTTTTTATAATTTTTTATAATTTTTTTATAATTATTTATGATTTTTTTATAATTTTTTTACAATTTTTGTATAATTTTTATAATTTTTTATATTTTAAATTTTTTTTTTTAAATTTTATTAAATTTTATTTAATTTTATTTAATTTTATTTAATTTTACTTAATTTTATTTAATTTTATGTAATTTAATTTAATTTTATTTATTTTTATTAATGTTCTTTAATTTTATTTCATTTTATTTAGTTTTGTTTAATATTATTTAATTGAATACAATTTTGTATAATTTTATATAATTGTATTAACTTTTTTATGATTTTTTATAATTTGTTATAATTTTTTATAATTTTTATAATTTTTTATATTTTTTTATAATTTTTTATATTTTTTGTATTTTTTTATAATATTTTGATATTATCTTTTATACTTTTTTTTATAATTTTATATAATTTTATAAAAATATTTTAAAATATATATTAGCCAACTAAATCCAGGCGTTCTTGAGTTGTCATAAAAAATATATTATAAATAATAATATTAATAATAATAATAAGTGTATATGTATGTATTTACGAGTATTACAGTAAATAATGTATGTATTACGGTATACCAGAAGGTTACTACACCCGTCTCGATTTTTCGAGTCACGCTAAACAGGATTTCGGGCCCGTTCAAAACATCATTCCCAGCGATAAGGAGTATTCACTTTGAAAGGGAGAAAACCAGCCTGTTTTTATTCAATGTAATGTAATGTAATTCAATGTTTTTATTCGATGTAAGCACTTACATTGAACTTAGGATCTCCGTAATTCGCTTAGAAAATTTGTATAATATAATGAAAGTCCACCAAATTTTATTACAATCAATTCAATAAATTTCGCATAATAATTTTGATATCTAAATTTAAAAAAAGATGTTACACTAGGCGGTACAGTAAACAAAGCCGAAGATTTATACTATGTTTCCTATATTTTTAAAATTTAAATATTATTTTTAAGATTAAATAAAGTAATTTTATTATTTATTGATTATTTATATTTTAAACAAATTATATTATATTCAAATAATTCAATTAAATATTATGTTTGCTCATAACGCGCGACCTGTTGACGTATTAACAAAGCGTAGGTTGTTTTCTTCTGATAGACCTGTAAAATTCAAACTAAATATTAAATTATAATAAAATATAAATAAATATCGTGTTATAGTAAATTTAATTATTATATAAACTAAATACTATGGTTCGAAATAATCAAATCTTTTATCGACAAATATTATTTTAATTTTTTTACTTCTCCATTCATACGTCTGTATTTTGTCAGTTATGTTTCATGCAGTTTTTAATTTAAACCTGCTTAGAATGCATTATGATTTTTTGACTCTACTCGTGGTAGCATTTTACCAACTCGCCTTAACATTTTACTATAGAGAAAAAAGTAATACAATGCCAGTGTAGAAGCTTCGCTTCAAAAATTGAAATTCTTTAAAATATTATAAAACAAAAACTAAACTATTTAAAAGTTTGCCATTTTTTTACATATAACAGAGCACTTCATCTATCCAACGCAGTTTACTTAATTGAAAATAGATTATTAGCGTGACATCACGCTAAAAATATATGTCATACTAGTTTAATATTATGTTTTTCTGGCTTGGTGAGCAACTACGTCTTAGTGTACACCTACATTGGAACCGTATTTCTCCCGATCCGATATCTGGCGACGTCGGCCGACGTCGGATTAATAGAACCAAACTCAAGGTATTAAATCAGAGTGCCTATACTGCTTCGTCACGGAAGCAGTATAGGCACTATGATTTAATACCTTGAGTTTGTTTTCAATCCGACGTCGGCCGACGTCGCCCGATATCGGATCGGGAGAAATACGGTTCCAATGTAGGTGTACACTTAGTGTACTTTTTATGTCATACTCTCTTCTTTGTCAACCATTTTCCATCCACTCCTGAATGTAGGTCTCTCCCAATTGGTTCCATCTTTCTCTATCTTGCGCCAATCTAATCCACTGTTTGCCTGCCACTGCTCTTATGTCATCTACCCATCTTTTTTGAGGTCTTCCCATGCTTCTTGTTGTCGTCCTTGGTCTCCATTCTAGAATTCTCCGTGTCCACCTGTTGTCATTATATCGGGCTACGTGACCTGCCCAGCGCCATTTCATTTTTGTAATTTCTTCCACAATATCCCTAATCTTCGTTCTACGTCGTATCTCGGTGTTTCTAATCTTGTCTCTTAGTGATATTCCAAGCATGATTCGTTCCATTGCTCTTTGCGTTGTTTCTAATTTTTTGGCAGATTTTTTGGTAAATGCTACTGTCTTCAAGCCGTAGGTACAAACAGGTAGTATGCATGTGTTATACACCTTTTTCTTTAAGTTTATAGGAATGGAGGTGTTTTTCAAGATATGTGCTAGTTTGCCGAAAGCGCCCCAAGCCAGTTGTGTTCTTCTTTTAATTTCAGCATCTTGATTTGGTTTTCCTAGTTTGATAACATGACCTAGATATACATAATGTTCCACATTTTCTATGGTATGATTTTGTATTGTTATATTTGTCTGGTCTCGGCTCAGTATTTTTGTTTTGCTGTAATTCTTTAGCCTACCGCTCCTGAAACTGCATTTAATTGTTGTAACATATCATTTAGTTCTTGGATATTATCGGCTATTAAAACTATGTCATCTGCGAATCTCAAATGGTTTAAGTATGATCCGTCGACGTTGATACCCTTATTGTTCCATTCCAGTTTCTTAAAAATATCTTCTAGAGCAAGGGTAAATAGTTTGGGAGAGATGGTGTCTCCTTGTCTTACTCCCCGTTGTAGTCTTATGGGATTAGTTTTTGTGCTTTCGTCCAGCTTTATATGCATGGTGGCATTTTCATATATGTTTTTAATTATGTTAATGTATCTTGAATCTATGCGTGCATTTTCTAGAGATTCAAGCACTGCCCATAATTCGATGGAATCGAATGCTTTGTGGAAATCGACGAACGCCATATGAATTGGAACATTATACTCGGTGCATTTTTCTATCAGTGTTCTTACGGTGTGCAAGTGGTCTATGGTATTAAAATGTTTTCTGAATCCAGCCTGCTCGATAGGTTGATAGAAATCGAGCTTATGTGTTAGGCGGTTGGTTATGGTTTTAGTTAGTAATTTATACAGATGTGATAGCAAGGATATTGGTCGGTAATTCTCGATGTTTGCTCTGTTTCCTTTCTTGAATAATAAAATGACCTCGGAGTTGTACCATTCTTGAGGAATCTTTCCTTCATCAATTACTTTATTAAATAAAACATTTAATACCTGTTCCATTTTTCTGCCACCAATTTTCAACATTTCAACTGTAATCTTATCCTCTCCCGGACATTTATTCGTTTTAAGTTGATTTAGGGCCATTCTTATTTCATAGTCGGTTATGTCCGGTATTTCTTCTAAGCCGGTGTTAATTATTGTTCGTTGAGTACGTCGTTGTTGTGGTTGTGTATTTACCGAGTATAGTTTAGTGTAGAATTTTTCAATGGCCTCGCTTATTTCCTTTCTGTCTCTGACGGTGACGTTTTTCTCATTTTTTATTTTTATGATTTTTGTTGTGCCGCTTGAGTTTTTTGCTTTGAGTACTTTCATGTTGCAGTTATCTTGTATTATATTTTTTATTAGATTGTTATTATAGTTTCTATGATTGTTCCTGAGTTCTTTCTTCACATTTTTGTTTAAACTTTTAAAGCTTTCCGAAGTTCGATCTGTTCTGTTTCGTCTTTCTTGGAGTAGTTTAATTGTATTAGGTTGGAGTTTAGATGTTTTGGCTGTTTTCGTGTTTGAGCATATTTTCTTAACCGATGTTGTTACAGTTACTTTTATTTTAGTGGCTAGTCCGCTATGTCATACTAGTTTATTATTATGTATTTATGGCTTAGTTACCAAATAGGTCATAGTGTAGTTTATGCACGCGCGGGAATAAAGTGTTCTTTATGGCCCGCACGGGCGTAAAGATACAAACAAAAAGATAATAAGGTTCCCGTAGCGTTGCAACATAACACGGACGATAGAATGTATACTAGTAAATATATTGTCAAAATGAAATCGAATTTTCGGATTTTTTCGAACATATTTATTTGTAGATGCAATAACGAACTAGTATGCGTTGTAGTATACGATATATATGCGCTAGGGCGACTTCATCGCCCTCTGGGCATAAACATCTATTTAATACCCTTGGTACATAAATATCTATTTTGACTTATAAACAAATACAGGAAAGAATATCTTGGTAACTAGACAGAATTCTGTCTTCCGCTTCTTAGGCTTATAACCAAATGGTCGGATTATTACAGCCGTATCATGAACACAATTTTACAACTTAACTTATTGCAAAGAAATGACTTTCTAGTTTATATTTCTATTTATAAAAGACTATTTCTATGTTTGGATCCAGTTGGTCCGTTATCACAGTTCCCAAATATGTCATTTTGTGAACTTTCTCAACTTGGACTCCATTTAATTGAAGCTTTGCGTCGGGATGTGGGTCACGACTAAACACTAAAAATTTGGTTATGTTTGAGTTTATTTTAATGCTTATTTCCTCTCCTACCTCGTGAATGCGATCAAGCAGAATTTGAAGACCTTCAATATAACTGATAGAATTACTGTATCGTCTGTATCTAATCACATTAAGTAGTTCCCCGTTGATTTTTATTCTATATGGTTGTCTCTCAAGTGCCTCTTTAAATAACTGGTCCGAGTAAACATTGAACAATGTTGGCGACAAAATGCAACCCTGTCTGACTCTTCCTTGTATAGAGATTTCATCGGAGTAGTTATCTTCAATTTTTACGATAGAAGTTTGATTCCAGTACAATGTGTTAATGACACGAATATCCTTATCTTCTATTCCGATATTATTCAGTATTTGCATTAATTTTATATGCTGTATTTTATCGAATGCCTTTTCGAAGTCCACGAACCATGAAAATACATCTATTCTTTAGTCACGACATTTTTGTAATAGGATGTTAAGCGCAAAAAGTGCTTCCTTGGTTCCCATAGCATTTCTAAAACCAAATTGGGTATCTTCAAGATCTTCTTCGCATTTGCGTCTAATTCTGTTGTGAAGTATTATTAGGAAAATTTTAAGAGTGTGGCTCATTAGGCTACTTAATCGATATTGTGAGCATTTTCTCGCATTGTGTTTTTTAGGTATTGCGACAAAGATGGATCACACCTCGGTGTTATATATTGAATTAAAAAGTCTTACTACTACTTTTATGTTATCATTCTCTATTAGTTTCAGCAACTCAGTTGGTGTATAATCTGAACCACAAGCTTTTCTAATTTTAGCATTATTTACAGCGTGTTCTACCTCGCATTTCATAATTTCTGGGCCGTCAATACAGTTTTGGTAAAATTTTCTTCATCATCATCAATCAGCCAATCGCGTCCACTGCTGGACATAGGCCTCCCTCAGTTCTTTCCAGTGTTCTCTACACTGGGCCGCTTGTAGCCAGTTTCCCGCTACACGTTTTATATCATCGGTCCATCTAGTCGGTGGTCGTCCTCGGCTTCTTTTATAGTTTATGGGCCTCCGTTCCATATATCATGCAAGGAAAAATAGCAGGCAAACGCAGTCCAGGACGAAGAAGAACCTTATGGTTGAAGAACTTGCGAGATTGGTATGGTGTAGATACAAGCATGCTATTTAGGGTGGCAGTGAATAAAATTAAAATAGCTATGATGGTAACCAACGTTCTGAAAGGACATGGTACATGAAGAAGAAAAAGTTCCATAATACGTCTTGTCCACCGTTCATCTTGTGTTCTGGCTAAGTTCCACTTAAGCGTCGTGGTTCTTTCGATGACGTCTTGAACTCCTGATCTTTGCCTGATTGGTTGGTTTGTTATGTGGTCTCGAAGGCTTACGTTCAGCATTGCACATTCCATGGCTCGTTGTGTAACTCTGAGCTTATTCGCAGATTTTTGCGTGAATTTTAAGGTCTCTACTTCATAAGTTGGTACAGGTAAAACACATTGGTTATAAACCTTTCGCTTGAGATACATGGGAATTAAACTTTTTAGAATATGGCTTAATTTGCCAAACGCTGCCCATGTTAGGCCTATTCGCCTCTGTATTTCATGTGTTTGATTGTCTCTGCTTATTTTGATTTCGTGTCCCAGATATTTGTAAGTGTCTTTTTGTTGTATGTTGTTTATTGTCAATAGTTATATTTCCACTCATTACGAGATTTGTTATAAGTTTAGTTTTCTCAAAGTTTACCTTTAATCCTCCTCTTTCAGACAGACTTTTAAGCGAATGCATCATAAAAACTGTAGCATGTAAATTATCTGCGATTAATACAACATCATCTGCAAATCTTAGGTGATTTAATTTGTCTCTTTGTCTAACTCCTCGACCCAAGCTGAATTTTTCTGTGTCTTCGTGTAGTCGTATACTTGATGTAGCGTTCTGGTAGATGTTTTTGATTAGTGTCGTGTATCTGTAATCTATTCGGCTTTAATTTAGGGCTTCCAGTATTGTTTCAAACTCTACAGAATCAAAAGCCTTCTCGTAATCGACAAATGCAAGAACCAGTGGTATGTTGTACTCGATGCACTTTTCTATTAAGATCTTTATGGTATGCAAATGGTCATTTGTGCCATATCCTGCCCTGAAGCCTGCCTGTTCTTTGGGCTGATAGAAATCAAGTTTAGGTGTTAGCCTTTTTGTTAAGATTTCTTTAAAGAGTTTGTACATATGTGTCAAGAGGCTGATGGGTCTATAATTTTCTAATTTAGTAATATCGCCATGTTTTTGTAACAAGACTATTATTGCATTGTTCCATTTTTTTGGAATCGTACGCGCATGTAAGCATTTATTAAACAGTTCGCTTACTGATTTTAATAAAATTTCTCCTCCTGCTTTTATTGCCTCGATAACGAGTCCATCATCACCAGGCGATCTATGGTTCTTCATTTCTTTTAAAGCTGCTCTTACTTCTGACACCGTAATGGGTAAAAGTATTTCCGATCCCTGATTTATGAGAGACTTTACTCGTGTCGGGAAATTGTCTTGTGGTCTTTGGCTGGTATAGAGGTCTTTATAAAACTCTCTGGTTATTTTCAAAATGTTTTGTTTATCTGTTGTTGCCTTTTCGTCTTTATCTCTCAGCTTGTATATTTCTTTTTTACTTTGTGTGAGTTTTCTTTTCATTATCTTTGTTCTCTTCTACTGTTTGAGTAATTACATTAGTATTATATCTTCTTATATCTTTTCTAATTTCCGCTGAAATTCTTTTATTTAGTTTTTTATATTCTTCTTTGTTTCCCTTTTCGTTCTCGCTTAGGTTTCATCGTATTTCCATGAGAGCTTTTTTATTTTTGCTAATCTTTTCACTTTTGGTGTCATTTTTCTTGCAAAATTTGAGTTGTGCGTTTCTAACCGAGTCTATTATTAATTTATTGGGATCGTTGATACTTAGAGGTTTGGGATTATTACTCTGTAAAGTTTCGGCTATATTTTTTATGTATGCTTCTGGATGATTTGGTGAATTCCAAACTATGCGTTTGCAACTGTTTCTTCGTTCTTTTCTTAGTTCGTGTTCATTTACAATATTTTTGTTATTATTGTCAACGAGTACAGAGGAAACTCTTTTTTTTTAAATATGTTACTCATTTCTTTTAGTTTTTTGTGCACATTAAATAAGTCGTGTTTAGATATTACATCCTCCATTTCGTCGCACCTTTCTCTTATCCATTTTTCTTTGGCTAATTTGAACTCCTTTTTTATTCTTCTTTGCAGGTGTCTATATTCTGTTTTATTAGTTTTTGTCAGTCGACGTTGTTCCAATAATTTCAAAATGTTGTCTGTCATCCATTTATTTTTCTTAAGTTTTTTCTATAATCATTGTTTGTGGAGATTTCGTTAACTTAGTTTTTAAATTCACTCCATAGTTCTTGTGGATCTTCTAGTTGTTCTCCGATGTTTTTTATTCTATTGTTAAATTATTTTTTAATATTTTGTTTTATGTTTATATCGTCAAAGTTAAGTTCATTGTTTTTGGTTTATGTGGCTGAATTCGTTTTAACCTTAGTTTAATATCTGCTACAAGTGGTTGATGATCAGATCCAATATCTGCCCCAGGAAATGTAGTGACTTTTTTGACGGCATTTCGGAAACGCTCATTTACAAGTGTATTTGATGAATGAATTGTTTTCTTTACAAAATTCATACAATCTCTGTCCTCGATCGTTAGGTCGTCCTAAACCATAAAAACCTACAGCCTGACCTCGTCGACATTCCCCAATTTTTACATTGAAGTCGCCTATAATATATCAAATTTCGTGTTTATTAAGTTTCTGTAAGACGTCTTGGATTTGATCATACAACTTCTCGACTTCATCGTCATATTGTCTATCTGCAGTCGGGGCATAGATTTGAAGTATGTTAGTTTGAAATGGTTGAGTATTTATTTGGAGTAATATTGTTCTATCCGAGACTAGTACGCAATTGGTCACATATTTACTCAGTAATTACTAACTTTTATTATGGGTATTTATTGCCAGAAGATTATTAATTAAGAACTAGTAAGTTCTGATACACAGCTTGTTTTTCCTGTAAGAAAATACTTATAGAAGCTTTACAAAGCTTTACAAACGTCAACTAGTACATGGTATTCTATTTTAGCGATACCTACTGATAAAAGGGCATGAACTTTTACTATATAACCATATCCACGAATGTTTACCTGAAAAAGGTCATTTTATTACCTGATCAGTACCAAACGTATATACGAAATGGATAATAGGTTTTTTAGAAGCCTTTTTTTTGGAAGAAATTTTTAGCCTTTTAGAAGAAGTTTATAGATCTGAGTTTTTTAGGGTTCGTAGATCTGGGATTAATAAAAAATTTAATATTTTTCATACGTTTCATACACTTACCATTTTTAATTGTTTTCGGTATATAACATATCTTACAGTATTAAAAATAATCTGATCAATCAATGTGATCCATGAGGAATTTTTTTTAACCCAAGTTATTACCAAAAATTTAAGACCAAGGACAAGTCATTAGTATCCCTAAGATTCTATTCATTCATTACACAAAAAATATTAACATGTACCATTACTTGCATACACCATATTACTTGCTTATACCACTTACGTGGTGTAAGCAATCCCACACTTAGTGACCAGCGGCTTCGGGCGGATGATTTGGTAAGTGATAGGGCACCCTTTTGTCCTGGAGTTGAGAAATCGGCTTCGAAGACGGAGGAACTATTAAGTAGTCAACGGCATAATGATACGGAAGGAAACGGAAAACCACTGTATTAAAGGTATCAAATGATATTCCTAGAAAATCATAATGGCGTTTGCAAAAACCCAAAGACACCTTACTGATCATAGCAGTCGGAAACCAAGATCCGACAATTGAAGGATACGCAGGAGAGGTACACTTGAAAAATATGAGGCTTCTCAGGTCGTCAGCAAGCGAAACCCTCATAATTAGAAGGAAACCAAGAAAAGCATTGGTTTAGAGAAAATAGAAAAAGGACGAACCCTTAAACTGGCCACATGGAACGTGAAGAGTTTATATCCACCAGGTAAGCTGGACAACCTAATAGCTGAAATGGATCGCCTTAAGATAAATATATTCGGTATCAGTAATGTTCAATGGCCCGATTCAGAAAAACTAGCCCCAACCAACGGCATGATATATTACGTTGGTAACAATGATCCAAGAGATCGACATGGAGTTTCCATTCTTGTAGACAAAGCAATAAATAAATCAGTAGTTGGTTTTATTCCCTACTCAGAGAGATTGATGATGATTTAATTGCAAAACATTCTCTAAAAAGATAAACATTGTCCAAATCTATGCACCAACTGCAGACAAAGATGAGACCGAGATAAAGAGGTTCTACATGCAATTGAACGAAATCATAAGATCCACAAAAAAAGATGATATATTGTTGGTGATGGGAGAGTTCAACGCCAAGGTTGGTAAAGGAAAAGTGGACAGATGTGTGGGGGAATTTGGCTTGGGAGAAAGAAATTAAAGAGGGGACAGACTTGTCGAATTCTGCCAAAGCGAGGAGATGGTAATAATCAATACAAATTTTAAATTACCTAAAAGAAGACCTTATACTTGGAAATCACCTGCGGATTCAGAAGATAACATTGTTCGAAACCAGATAGATTACATTTTAATAAAATCTAGATATAAAAACGCTATAAAGTCTCTGAGAACATACCCCGGAGATGACATCAATTCAGACCATAATCCATTAGTAGGCGTAATGAAGATAACATTGAAGTAGATCCAAAAACAAACAAATATACCACGGTTTGCTGTCTCAAAGATAAAAGAAGAACCTATACGTCAGAGCTCATAACAAGAAATAAATAAAACAAGAAATAAATAAATGATAACTTAAAGAAAATCAAACAAGACGTGATAAAAACAACAGATGATAATGACAAATGGAACATGGTACAGGAAACTTTAATAAACGCAGGAAAAAAGCTACTGCAGACAAAAATAAGGAAAAAACAGAGATGGATGACTTCAAAAATCTTAGATCTAATGGAGGAAAGAAGGAAACGTAAAAGCAGGAGTAAGGCAAAATACAAGGAACTACAAAGACTGATAGGAAAGAAAATAAAAGAGGCCAAATCCACCTGGTTTGCTAATCAATGCAGTGAAATAGAGGCATATGCTAAACAGTATGATAGCTTTAACATGCATAAGAAAATAAAGGATATGAAAATACACTGAGAAAAAGAAAGATGCCCTTCTGAAAGATGCAAATGGAAAAATCATTAATGGATTAAAAAAAAAAAAATAAAAAAATGGAAGACAAACATAACAGATCTGTTTGAGGATAATCAACAAGAACCTGAAGAAATCGACAGCGAAACGGGGCCAGAGATCATAATGTAGGAAATCGAACAAGCAATTCGAAACGCAAAAAACGGAAAAACTGTAGGTTTAGACGAAATACCTGCGGAACTACTGAAATGTCTAGACGATGAAACTCTATCTGTACTTCTGGACCTATTTAATAGAGTATATAAAACTGGTATAACCAAGAGAGATCGAAAAACAATAGAATGGATCAGACAGAAAACGAAGGTCACTGATGTAATCACCAAATAAAATCTTTAAAATGGCAGTGGGCGGGACATTTAGCAAGAAGAACTGACAATAGATGGTCCACTAGAATTACTCTGTGGTACCCAAGAGACGTCAAGAGACCAAGAAGACGTCCAAATTTAAGATGAGACTATGACATAAGGAAACAAGCCGGTACAACATGGCACAGAAAAGCGAATATTAGACAGTCGTGGGCAGACACGAAGAACGACTATGTAAGGGAGGCTGCACCATAATTGGTAGAATACGCTGATAATGATGATGATGATGATAAAACTGGAAAAATCCCACAGGAATGGTTGGTGTCCACCTTTGTAGCAATACCAAAAACAGTATATGCCAAAGATTGTTCAGACCATAGGACAATATCACTAATAAGCCATACCCTCAAAATATTTCTAAAGGTGATTTATGGAAGATTATATAGAAAACTAGAAGATGATATGGATGATACTCAGTTTTTGTTCCGTAAGGGACTGGGAACGAGAGAGGCATTGTTTGCTTTTAATGTCCTCTCTCAAAGATGCTTAGATATGAACCTAGATATTTATTCCTGTTTCATCGACTTCAAGAAGGCATTCGACAGAATCCGACATGAAAAACTAATAGAAGTACTGAGAAACAAAGATATAGACAGACGAGATTTACGAATCATTATCAATCTGTATTGGAATCAAAAGGCCAATATAAAGATAGAAGAACAAAAGTCCGAAAATATAGATATAAAGAGAGGATTAAGACAGGGCTGCGTTCTGTCACCATTACTGTTTAACGTGTACAGTGAAGCCATATTCCAGGAAGCGATAGCGGATCTGGGTGATGGAATCTCTGTAAACGGAATTATAGTAAGTAACATAAGATTCGCTGATGACACCGTTATAATGGCAGACACCCTGGAATCGCTTAATGAGTTGGTAAATAGAATTAACGATTATTGCATTAGATACGGACTAAAAATAAATAAGAGAAAAACTAAATTTATGATTGGCTCAAAAACGCAACATGGAAATGAAAGATTAATGATAGAGCAAACCTAAATAGAAAAAGTAGAGACATACAAATATCTGGGAACCTGTGTTGATGAGAAAAATGACCAAAGCAGAGAAATCAAAGTCCGAATTGAAACTGAAAGGCAAGAATTTGTGAAAATGAAGACAATGCTTACCAACAGAGATCTTCAGTTGAGGGCTCTAAGATGTTACATATTTTCTATCTTACTATACGGAATGGAAGCTTGGACATTGAAGAAACAACACATAAGAAAAATAGAAGCGTTAGAAATGTGGTGTTACAGAAGAATATTAAAAATTCAGTGGGTTCAAAGGATTCCCAATGCTGAGGTACTACGACGTCTAAATAAGGAGTTAGAAATTATGAACAGCATAAAAAGAAGAAAACAAGAGTATTTGGATCACATAAGCAGAGGAGAAAAATATGAGCTGCTGAGAATTATTATGCATATATTTTTCATTTTGGAATCCTATACTGCTAATAATTACTATTTAACTGGGAATAAGCCACAATTAAAGGTTAAAATATGTTTATTGACGTTTCAATTTCCACTTCGGAAATCGTTCTCAAAATACAAACAGTAAATTAGTTATTAATTATATATACATATATATTATTGTGATATTCAAAATCTTAGTGCACCAAGCAATTAATTAGCTAATTAATTAATTAATTAATTAAAATTATTTAAATGATATGATTATGAT